TTTATGTTAAATCAAACAATTCCATTAAAAACTTTTACCAAGTTTGGAAGGCAAAGAAATTTAGCATATGTAAGATGCCCTAAACATATATCAATTTTGTCGCGTCGGTTCAAATTGGATAACTCCAAATGCAATACTCATGTTTGAATCCTATGTATGCATATAAGGAATGCGCACCTAAGGCTTGGAAAGGATAATCAATTTTTGGTATGATTGATGGATTGAAAGCATGAGCGAAAGCTTCAAATGTTGAGGGATTTCAAGAGTTAGAGGAAGGGATGACCCATTGTCATTTCCTTAGGCCTTGCTAAGTGTGAGTTCCTACACTTGTATGTTAATTTTGTCATAACATGTCAACCTAAGGAGCATAACATAGCATGCGACATTGTGAAAGTCTATATCTCAACATTTAATCTAACATCAAATGAAATCTCCTCAACTTAGGGTTTAGTTATAGGTGAAGGGATTGGACATAACATGAATGCTATTACATGCATTTGAGAGGTGTTGGATACCAACCCCACACCCCTACGCGTATCGGCGTGCCTCTTTGGATCTCCCAAGAGAGCAAACCAACGGAAATCACTAGATTTCCGCTGTTATGCTGAGAGGACAACAAAAGAAGGGTTTTGGGGAAGCAAATAATGAAGTTTCTAAGGGACCTATGGCTTTGGATCGTCAACCACATGTCAATTGACTAGGGGGTCTTAGGGATTTTCCTAAGGTTTTGAGATTTACCTCACCTGGGCTGTCCAAGCTTTCCAAATTGATGCCCAAGTCACTGTCCAAGCTCCAACCAAGCTCCAAGTGCTGTCCGGAAACTTCCAAAAGCCTCCAAACTGCTGTCCTCACTGTGTGAGTGCTCCCGGAGGTGGATTTCGTCGGCAAGAGGTCGCCGAAATTGATTCGGTAGGAAGTAGAGCCTTCCTACCTCCTCTTGGCTGCAACAGGGACTAATTACAACAGCCCTTTGCCCTGTACTTCAGAAGGAGAGACAACCAACAACAGCTAGAAGGAGGCTCTCCTTCTTGGTTGAAAAAAGAAAGGAAATTGCAGCAGGAAAGTTCTTCAACTAGGGAAAGACAATATCCTCTCTTCACTTGGTTTCAGCTCCAAGAAAAAGCTTGCAGGATGGGAGGGTTTCAGCAGTTAAGGAAAATTGGATATGGAGGACTCGGCGGCCAAGGGAGACGGATGTCCTGGACATGTCGGAGGACCTGGAAGGGCCGAACGCCTGCAACCCTTGCTTCCGCTTTCTCTCTCCTGCTCTCTCACTCTCCCTTTTTTTTGTTCGGGAAGGACAGGCATGGGAGAGCCGAATGGCTCCACCCTCTCCCTTCGTTCCCCTAGAGGCGCACGCAAGCATCAAAAGAGCGGTCCAAAATCGCCAATCCCGCTCCATCCTTGTGCTAATCGAAGGAAATTCCACTCAAGTGGATTTTCTGCCAGATTTGATGTGAGATTGGGTGGGATTTGATATGAAATCTCATTCGTTGATCCCAATTTCTAATTTGAGAACCTAATTCAGCCCAAACTGGCCAATTAGGATTGAAATCAAGCTCGAATTGGACTCGACCCGAACCGTTTTGAGTTGATTCGGGTCCGATTGGGTCCAATCAAGATAATTTTATGAAATTAGGCTTGAATCGACGACGAATTCTGTCAAATTTGGTTTGAACTTTGAAGAGGCTCGAATGGGTTCGATTTGGATTTATTTGATCTTAATTTAATTAAATTGAATTTAATTTAATTAAATTGAATTTAATTTAATTAAATAAATGTTTAATTTGGGTCAATTTCGCTTCGACGACGTTTGATCGAATTGATCGAGTGCGATCGAACCCAGTCGGGCTCGAACCGGCTCGATCAGAGTTGGGTCGACATGAAAATATTCGTCAACAGATATGCAATATTTTAATCAAAGAGGCGAGTTATTTAGTATTTTTGCATGTACAATTGCACTTGAACTAAAATTCAATATGAAATGCACAAGAAATTCTTTGTATTGTGTAATTTATATCAACAACTTATTATCCATGAGCAAACGATCAATTATAGAGTTTAATGATTCAAGTTAAAAACTAAGTATCTTGTAATTATTTAAATATTTCATTAATTGATAATATTTTGAAACATAAAAGCAATTTTATTTGTAGTCGCCCTTGTTATGTATGCACTAAAATTATATGTTTATTTAAATAACATATAACATGTTTAATTGCAAGTTAAAAGTAAATTTAATGATTAATATTTGATAAGTCTGAGAAAATGTCATGTTAGATGATAGACAGGTGGGGCAATGCGACCCAATTGGAGGCAATGTGGCTTCAGTATGATGAAATAGATGAGTTATCGTGAAGCCTACGAGCTATGAATACAATATGACCTCAGTTTTATAAAGCCTAACAGCTAGAATTAACCTAAACTATAAGAACAAAAAAAGGGTTACCGTAGCACGCAAATTCTACCAACTATTCTCCTATGGCGGCAACAGTTGATGGTGGTAGCTAGGGAGCTTAGACGGTTAAGAGATTGGCGGTGAAATTCAAAGAAAGAAAATTTCATTGGATTTACATGCATGCAACTACATATATATCTAAAATCCTCCTAATTCCTTAACCTAATCTAGCTATACGACAGTTTGGAGGTTCCTTAAGCTGGTCAGAGAGGTGGCTATAGCAGGGGTGTTAAAATGAGTTTTGGGGTCGGGTTCGGGCCCAACCCGAAAATGGCCCGTCATCAGTTGAATTGGCCTGATTAGGGTAAGAGTCACAAACCTAGACCCAGTCCTGAACCTGACCCGGGTTAAAGCTGGATTGACCTAGTTCAAACTAGTTTCGACCCGACACAATCTGCCAACCCGTTTTTTTAATTTTTTTGCTAATTCCATTTTGCGCGCTTCTTTGGACAAATTCTTTAAATATGCTCTCTTTCGGTTGCTTTCGCGGGTTAACCCGAAATGAAAAGACAAACTGCGTTTGGTGGCCCCTTTCTTCCAGTTCGCGCGCTTCCTCAACCAAATATCGTAAATCCTGTCATCCACCCGCTAGTCCCATTTTCGCCAATTCGTCCGCTTTCTGCGTGCACGCGCCGAGCCACTATATTAAACCGAAACGACAACGAAATGAAATCATGCCTCCCATCCCGTCTCCCTTTTTCGTGCGCTTCTTTGGCATAGTCTGTAAATTTGTCCGATCCGGGTCAAAATCAAAGTAATTCCAGGTTGACGGGTTGACCCAAATCCGACTTACTTATTAAATGGTTCATGTTTGTAGACCCAAACCCGACCCGTTTGTCATAGAGGTCAATTCGAATCCAAAATATTATAGTCGGGTCAGGGTCAGGTCAATTTCTGAAACCCTAGCAGTAGCTACTGAAATCAGATAAATAGAAGAAAAAAGAAGCCAAGGAAGAAGGAAATGAAGAAAATAAGTAAAGTTAGGTAAGAAATTATCAATTTAATTTGAGTCATTTGTCAGGAATGAAAAGGCTCGAATGAGAAGAAATCATTTTGAGGTAAATTATTTATTTGAGATTATTTCGAGTTAAATTAAATTGTTGCATTCTAGGAGTTATATAAATTATTCATATTATCATTTTTAGGTTGTTTACACTAGGATGTGACGCCAGAAGGAGAAAATACGGACATTTATCACAGGAAAGATCGAATTGTTTTGGTGAGATATTCAATTTCTAAGATATGGGTCAAATCATTCCTAAGTTAATGTTTGCTCTTTTTATGATCTTCTAGATCTATTATGTTTGTATTTATGAATTCTCTTGATGATTATTAGCTTGTTGAAGAAATCCAAAAACATCAAACAGGCTTTATGCCACTTATGACCATGAATTTAATTATTTTTAAATTCGTGATCATTTTTTTCAAACATAAGAGTGTTTAATAATGCATGAGGCATAAAATAAAGATTTTACATGTACAAGTATGTATTATTATGAAAAGATGATGCCAATCAATAAGAAAGATTCAAGGACTGAGAATGCATTTCAAGAATTCTTTGGAAGACCATATCATGTGAGTTAGGTTGGTTGACTTTGATGGCCTGTGCTGGAAGAGATGATTCCTGATATCGGAGAGAGTTGGTTGGCCAACTTCTATCAGGAAAAAAATGAATGAAAAGGGAATTTCTAGCTCTTGTTACTGGAGAGTTTGTTTGCCCAACTTTTATCAAGAGTATAACAAGGAAATTCTTGATGCTTAATAATGTAGAGTTGGTTAGTGCAACCTTTATTAAGGGTATAAGAATACAAAATGGTCGAAAGCCATAAATATGGTATCACATTTCAAAAGTATTAATAAGAAAAAATAAATAAAATAGTTAAATTAAATGATTCAATATTAATTTCATGATTAGCTAACAATTATACTTGTTAATCCAAATTTACTCATTAGTGTTGATGATTCATAAGTCATGTAATGAATTTACGTCTATTGCACTAAATTAAATATGATTGTTTCTTGTTAATCCAAATTTACTCATTAGTGCTGATGATCCATAACTCATTGAATGCTGATTTGTTGATTGAACTAAATAAATAATGTTACCTACAATTTATATCTCTATATTCTTTTTCTTTTAATGGGGTCAATTTTGCATCATAGACAGTAGCTTGTGAGGCACCTTCTTTTCTAGATTCATAGATCTAGTCCGATTGCTTCTCAATATTTCATAGTGAGAGTTTTAGAAAAGGGAAATTTTGTCCAATTCTGCTATTGCACATTCTATTCCTAGACTATTGTATTAATTCTTTCAACTGTCGAGGTTTGAAAATGTCTTCTTTTACTCGAATTCAACTGCATTTAATCATTGAACACTGCTCCTTGGCGGTTTCCCGCACTTTTGCATTGGCTTGGAAGGTGCGCTATTGCAGGGTTGTCATTTTTCAATTCTTTTTTTATCTTTAACAAAAAAAGTGTAAACTTTAAATCAAACTGAATGACCCGTGAATGAGAGATTCTAACTTACTACATGTTATTGCAGTTTTAGATAAAGGCACCGGTGGCATAAATCTGAAATCTTTCGGAAGATTGTATTCTCAGAAAATTCTGAAGGCATGAAACGCAAGAAGGGAGCCAAAGGAAGTCTGAAAAAAGTAAAAAAGAATGATCTCATCTTCATGGATGATCCTAATTCGCCTTCAATTTCAATTGAAGGAGAAAATTATATGGGCCAAACTGGTGAAAGTCAAGGTAAATTTGAGCTGGAGGTTAAACAACCCACCTGTCTCGATAATAGAATAGCAAAAGGTTCAAACAGTGATGCTGATGTTTCAAGCTTTAAATCAAAAACGAATGCTGGCCATAGCCGTGTTAAAGTTAAACTCAAAACCTCTAAATTGTTAGAAGATCATAAACGTTCTTCAGATGCAATAATGCCAAGCGTAAATACACCTAGTGATACAGATAAAAGCAACTCACAATTTGCCATGGAGATGAATGAAATGACTTCTAGTAAGATGGATGCTACTTGGTCTGACGGTCAAGCTTTAGAAACGAGCAACGTGGTTCCAGAAAATCCAACAAGAAAAACAGGAAGCATCAAGATAAAATCTTCAAGGGGATCGGGGCTTTCAGGTGATTTCGTGAAAGAAATAATGTCAATAGGCAGTTGTCCTATGTATTAAAGGGTGATAGAATCATGTTAGTATCTGATAATTAAAAATTTGCAGATTTTTCGGCAAAGCAAATGGAGTCGAAGATTCCTCATAAGGAATTTTGTTATAATACAAAGGATCTAAATTCTGCATTGACGGTATGTTGGTTAAGTAGCTGTTCTTTATTTTTCTCTCAATGGACTTTTAAATCATTGCTTATCTTTTCAATTGTTGTTTTTCAGGTGATTAGGAAAGTTATGAAAATGGATGCTGCCGGGCCTTTTAATGCTCCTGTTAACCCTGTCGCTCTTGGAATTCCTGTAAGTTTTACGTTCAAACAATCTTATTTATCTTACTGTTCTTTTCTATTATATATCAAAAGTCAAAATTGTTTTAACTTTTAAGATGCAATGATAACAGCAATATGCTACCCGAGAGTGTAAATTTGAGTAAACCGATTGAGGCCTTCATTCTCATTTAGATGGGATTTATTTAGAGAAGGCCAACCAGGATTTTGGGAAGATTTTTGGGGATTTTGTGAAGCTATTTTATTTTTTTTTAATGGTGAAATTAATTTGATGATATATAGAGAGCTTGATTTTAGGTTTGGAAAATGATTCTAGCTACCATGTTGGAGATATCTAGGGAGCTTTAGGTCCTTGCCAAGGGAGTTTTGGGTCTAAGTAAAATTGTTTAAGCCATTGTGGTCTTAAGGATTTCAACCAAAACTTAGGAATAGAGAAAAAGAAAAGATTTAAAGGATTTAAAATCAATTAAATTGTATTAATAGTCCTCTAATAGTCTAATGTCAAAGTATTGGACGTCCCTTTTTTATAAATTAGCGTAAATAAGGAATTCAATGGATAATGTTTAGAATATCCAATGGAACATGCCAATAAAAATTCTAACTAATAGTTTTAATTTGCCTCTACCCATCTTCTCATCTTCAAATGTTCCCTAATCTCGAGTAGTTGAGCTTGCCTCGTTCTTTTGCTGGATTTACTACCTCCCATCCCTAATTCTTTCATGTTTATATAATTATTTTTCTTGCCTACACTTCCCATGTTTATTATGAATTTGACTTTAATAATAGGAAACTTGGAACAGCAACCCCACCGCTCACCCTTGTGCGTGCGCCTAAAAACAATCAGATGAAGATGCGAGACCTCTAGGATTTTTTCCATTGTAAAGTTGCTTCTATCTACCAATGCTCTTTCGTAACTAATAGAAACATTCAAACCTCAAATCACTATGTTACCCAAATGACCACCAATTGGTTAACTATCACGGGAAAAACACTTGAGAGGCCCTAATAAGAACACCTAGGGTTGGATAATCTACTTATTGAAATAGCCACCACGGTGTAATGCATTGTATTAGTTGGAATATCAGAGGGATCTGCAATGGCAGTTCCCTCAAAAGGCTCTTATCTCTAGCTAGTGCTTCGATATATTTTCTTCCAAAATCATATTTTATAATAGTGTTGCTAGTACCTCCTAAAAAGTGTGTGTGTTTTGGGTACTATTTTCTTTGATGTATGGTTTACTGAGCATGAGCATTTCCTTCAAATCCATTTTAAAGTACGTTATCAAGTGCTCCTTCATCTATGCTAAATCTTTATGATCAAGGCATCTTTGTGGCACATATCTTCAATCTAGACCATTGCACTAGGCTTGGGATGCTATAAATGATTTCAATGTGAGAAGCTAGTTGGCAACCATGTTGATCTAGAAGGTTTTTTATACTTTAATAATTTTATCCAAGCTACTGGTATGGCCGACATTGGCTTTTTTTGGAAATAAATTCACATGGCATGATAAGTCAATTTGGGGAATTCAGGATCGAACTCTTTTTAACCCAACTTGTCTCTACACATTTGCCAACACAATATCCACTTGGATCACTCCCGATCCTCATTTGGTGCTACCCTCGATTACCATCACCCAAACAATGTTAAGTTCTAGACCTTGTGGATTGTCGAAGAGGTATTTTCTGTGATTGTCCAAATAGTTTGGAACTTTCATTGTGACTCTTTCTGCTCATATGAACTTGGATTCAAGCTCAAAATAACTTGGAAGGCTTTGATTAATTGAAATAATCAGATTTTTAGCAACATATTTACCAAAATTAAAGAATTGGAATTTGAGTTACCAAAGAGCAGCAATTTGCGATTTAGAAAAAGGGTAATTCTTGGATTGAGTTGAATGAATGTAAAGTTAGGTCCATCTTTTTCTTGAAATATGAAGAAATGTTTTGGAGGCATAATAAAAAATAAAATGGCTTGATGAAGGTGATATAAACACAATATTTCACATATTGTTTTCTATTATTTGGGTCCAAAATCTTTTCTAAAAAATGAAGCATTGGAGTTGCTCATGATTAGATTCTTAAGAAATGTTAGTGCTCATGTTGTCGCTTTCTTCCAAGAACTTTTTTATCCATTTATTGTCGAAAATGATAACTACTCATTAGCTGATTTAATTCTCAATTGATATCCAAAGAGGCAATGAAGACTCTACACCAATCCTACTCTTAAAGAGATCTGATTGTCATTTCTAGCTGCATAAAGACTCAATTCTATATTATTGTTGGTAATCACAAATAATTTAAGGTGTTTGCTATGCCAAAATGCTTCACATCAATGACTTTTATGATTCCTGATGGAGCTAATCTAATGATTGTGATAGACTAAAAGCCTTTTAACCCTTGCAAACTTACCAACAAGATCATATCTAATAACTCTATAATTAATTGGTTCTTTTTTGAGTTGGGATCAAATTTAGTGGATGATTAATTAGATCGTCCATATTTGAGATTTCATTAAATTAGGCATCACATGATGAAGAGATCAAATGAATTTTGATTTCCAATCACTTGATGAAGACTATTAATTATATTTTGTATATGTATATATTTTGTGTATCATGTAATACAACAACAAGCCTTTATTCCACTGTGGGGTCGGCTACGTGAATCCTTTTTCTCCATTGTGTCATGTTAAGAGTCAATTCTTCATCTAAATCTAATAAAGAAAGATCATTTCTAATATTTTCTAACCACGTCTTTTTAGGTCTACCTCTACCTTTCTTAACCTAAGTAAAATCTAATACATATACTTTCCTAACTCAGTCATCGGAAGGTCGCTAATTTATGTGACCAAGCCATCTAAGGCAACTCTCTCTAATCTTATCTTCCACTATAGTTACTTCAACCTTTTCAAGTATATGCTTATTTCGTATCATGTCTAAGAGTAAAGCCGCACATCCACTTGAGCATCCTCATCTTTGCAACACTTAACTTAATATTATGCTTCTCTTTTTATGGCCAACATTTTGCATCATAAAGCATTGCAGGTCTCACTACCATCTTACAGAATTTTCCCTTAAGTTTGAGAGGGATTTTTCTATCACACAACAAGCCCGATGCATTCCTCCACTTCAACCATCCAACTTGAATTTTACTCATAATATCTCAATCTATTTCATCATCACTATGAATAATATACCCAATATATTTAAAACGTGTACTCTTATAAATAACTTTATCACCCAAAGTCACAATCCCCCCACTAGATATATTGTTACTAAAATTACACTCCATATATTCAATTTTAGATCTACTCAAATGAAAACCTTTAGACTCTAAGGTTGACCTTCATAATTCAAGTTTACCTTCAACTTCTCGCTAGTCTTATCAACAAGAAGAATATCATTAGCAAAAAGCATACACCAAGGTACAACCTCTTGCAAATGTCTAGTGTAAACATCCATGACTGAAGCAAAAAGATACGAGCTTAAGGTTGATCCTTTATGTAATTCAACCGAAATAGGAAAATACTCAGTCAAACCACCTTGTGTTTGAACACAAGTAACAACTCCTGCATACATATCCTTAAGGACTTGAATACAAGCATTATAAAACCCCTTTTTTATGTAGAACTCTCCATAACACTTCTCTTGAAAATTTATCATATGCTTTCTCTAAATCAATAAAAATCATATGTTGACCCTTTTTTTTCTCTCTATACTTCTCCATCAAACCTCTGAGTAAATGAATAGCTTCCATAGTAGACCTACCTGACATGAATCCAAATTGATTTTGAGAAAAATTATTGTCACGCCGTAACCTATGCTCCATAACTCTCTCCCATCGTTTTAAGGTATGCCACATTAACTTACTTCCTCTATAATTCGTACAGTCTTGTGCATCACCTTTATTCTTAAAAATAGGAATCAACATACTCATTCTCCACTCATCTGATATCTTTTTAGTCTTAAAAATAATATTAAAAAGTTTAGTAAGCTAAGAAATTCCTTCATCTCCTAAGCATTTCCACACTTCTATTGGAATGTCATAAGGTCCAACAGCTTTTCCATACTCCATTTTCTTTAAAGCCTCTTTAACTTTGGTTTTACTAATATGACGATAAAAACTAAAATCTTTATTTTCATTTAAGGTGCTAAGGTCACCAAATTCAATCACATTCTCATAATCTTCACTGAAAAGCTTAACAAAATATCTCATCCATCTTTATTGAATATCCTCTTCTAATAAAAACACTTTTTGATATTCATCCTTAATACACTTTACTTCAACTAAATCCTTACTACTCCAATCTCTTTGTTTAGCTAATTTATACATATATCTTTCACCATATTTATTATTTAATCTATTATATAAATCATTAAAATTAAAAATTTTTGCATGGCAAATTATTTTCTTACACTCCTTACGGATCTCTTTATATCTTTCATAATTATTAAAATTTTTATAGCTAAACTAATTTTTATTACAAATATTCTTATTTTTTATTTTTTCTTGCGCATTTTGATTCAACCGCCAACTATTTTTTTACTATTACTAGCTTTTCTCTTTGATACTCCAAGCACATCTTTTGCAATATTTTTAATATCACTAGCTTCCTCTCCTACCTGACATGAATCCAAATTGATTTTGAGAAAAATTATTATCACGCTATAACCTATGCTCCATAACTCTCTCCCATCATTTTAAGGTATGCCACATTAACTTAATTCCTCTATAATTCGTACAGTCTTGTGCATCACCTTTATTCTTAAAAATAGGAATCAACATACTCATTCTCCACTCATCTGACATCTTTTTAGTCTTAAAAATAATATTAAAAAGTTTAGTAAGCCAAGAAATTCCTTCATCTCCTAAGCATTTCCACACTTCTATTGGAATTTCATAAGGTCCAACAGCTTTTCCATACTCCATTTCTTTAAAGTCTCTTTAAATTTGGTTTTACTAATATGACGATAAAAACAAAAATCTTTATTTTCATTTAAGGTGCTAAGGTCACCAAATTCAATCACATTCTCATAATCTTCATTGAAAAGTTTAGCAAAATATCTCATCCACCTTTATTGAATATCCTCTTCTAATAAAAACACTTTTTGATATTCATCCTTAATACACTTTACTTCATCTAAATCCTTACTACTCCAATCTCTTTGTTTAGCTAATTTATACATATATCTTTCACCCTCTTTATTATTTAATCTATTATATAAATCATTAAAAGTAAAAATTTTTGCATGGCAAATTATTTTCTTACATTCCTTACGGATCTCTTTATATCTTTCATAATTATTAAAATTTTTATAGCTAAACTAATTTTTATAACAAATATTCTTATTTTTTATTTTTTCTTGCGCATTTTGATTCAACCGCTAACTATTTTTACTATTACTAGCTTTTCTCTTTGATACTCCAAGCACATCTTTTGCAATATTCTTAATATCACTAGCTATTTTTCCCCATAATATTAGCTTCCTCTTGCACAGACAAAATCTTAAGATCTAGAATTTTAGTCTTAAAATTATTTTAATTACTATTTTTTAAATTTCCCCATTTAATCCTAGAACAACAATTTATTTTAATTTTAATGTTTTGGCCATTCTTTTTAAAGTCTAAAATTAATAAAAGATGTTGGGTAGATAAATTTTCACTCAGAATAACTTTACATTCTTTGCAATCTAAACGATCTATTTTTCTTTTAAGAAAATAATCAATCTGAATTTTATTATATCCAATCTTATAAGTGATGAGATGCTCACATCTTTTCTTAAATAAGGTATCAGCAATTACAAAATCATAAGCTAGAAAAAATTTAATATAATCTTACCCCATTTATTAGTCGCTTTGAAAGACAACCACCATCAATGCTTTTAAAATCATCTACCTCTCTATCAACATGTTCATTTAAATCTTTTACAATAAAAACTCTTTCTTCGAGATGTATCTTTTGTATTAATTCTTATAAGTCTTTTGAAAATTTTAATTTTGAACACATATTCAAACAAACTTGAGAAGCATAAACGCTTATAATATTAATAATTTTAGCTTCAACAATAATATTTAAAGCCATAATTCTATCTTCAATTCTATCAATTTTTAGAACATTATCTTTGAAACTCTTATGTATAATCATACAAATATCATTTCTGTTATGACTCATACTTGAATACCAAAGTTTAAATCCTAAACTATCAATTTTTTTTGTCTTCTCTTCCATTCATTTAATTTCTTGAATGCATTGAATATTTTTATTCTTATGAATCATAATATAAATTAATTCCATTGATTTGCCTGTAAGGGAACCTACATTCCAAGATCCTAATCTAATTTTAGTTTCTTGGACTAGTTTCTTTGCCTACATTCGTTCATGATGTGGGAATGTTTGTCTATTTAACATTGCACTCGGGCGCCAGTGTAGCGGCCATTGCTCACTTGTCGTTATATTTAAGCCATACAATGTGTCGCTTCCAGGGAACGCCCTAGCATTAACACAATGTATTAAATGATTTATGTTATGATTATTCGACAAGTTTTATGTTGGCTGTTGAGTGTTGACTACCTAACACAACCCTCCACTTTCCTCATCCAGGATTTGGGACCTGGCAACAACAGTGTTTTTTGTGTATTATGTAATGTGCAATAAAAAATAATGAGTACTATTATAACTCTATGAGTTTAATTTGTGTATTTTGTTTAATTTATATGGATTTTTTTGTTTAATTATAAAAAATATAATGCCTTGTCCAAGTGTGTTCGTGTCTTATATTTTCAATGATAGACATATACTGTGTCCATATCATATTGTGTCTGTATCTTCATGTCCTTGTCCATGAATTCTAGGGCCTTATCTAGTATTTTTTAACCTGGGAAGCTTGGCTTACTAGCTAAGATTTGATTGTTCTTGTGGAACTCCTCATTTCTACTCTTCCCACTGAAATCCAAGGGAAATCCTTTATCCAAACATGGATTTTGTTATTTTGGTGAGACCCTCAATTAAGTACTCATCACTTGCCAATTTGTTGAAGTTATAAGGAAAAACTCTACTGTATTTTGTATCACCTCTCCAAATCACTTCATAATATTTCTAATGTCCTTACTACTTGGTGGGATCCACAAACTCTAATCCTTAATACCTGGAATTCAATATTACTGAAAATAATGAAAAAATGACAACAATAGATGTTCAATCTTGGTTTTCATTTAAAAATCAGAAAACTACTTCATGAAATTACTATGATCACCTTATCGCTATGCATAAAAGATCTGTTGATCTTCATGTTATTTTTTGAACTCTTTTAAAACATGATCTCCAAGAAACTTGATCTTAATCAAATGAAATCTCCCTTGGTTTTCCTCAAACCTAATACTATCGAGTTTGTCTCTAACTCTTATAATAATGGCACCTGTGGCTGGTTGATTCGGGTTTGCATTTACTACTTCATTTTTGTGTTTTTCTCTTACCTAAAATAACTCATCATCCTTCACGCTGAGTTGAAGGGCTTTCTCAATGGCTTGAAGCTGAATATGCAATTGCATACCCACCGTATTCAGGTGGAATCGTATTCCCACTTATGACCTTGGTTGTCAATGGTGGTGCAGTGCTATAGTGCCTGCTTCAGGTTCAAACTTAAAATTATTCGTGCCCTTTCAAACGCATTCATAAGGAAGCTAATTGTTGTGTTCACTTGCTTGCATACAATGGTTACTCTAGAAGACAAGATTCTACATTCTCTTGTCTAAATGGCTTGTTTTTATTTAGACATTATCACAACATTATTCTCTCTTGCATACTTGAGGAAGGTCTTGAAAAGCTGTAATCCTATTTTATATTTGTAAATTTTCTTTATAAAAAATCTTAATTACGCTTTTCGATTAAAAAATCTTTATTACACCTTTCGATTAAAAAATGCAGAATAACTACTTTAATTCAAGTTATCAACAGCAGCTTGTCCCAAAACTATTTTTGTTGCATTCATGAGCCCTTCTCCATTTTTTATTCGTTTTTCATGAAGCCTCCATTTTTTATTCTTGTTGTAAATTCAAAATGATGGCAATGCATTTTCAATATGATCATCCCAACTATTTGTATTTCACAGATTTTTGTAACTATTAGCTTATCAAGCTTTATTGCTTTGCCAACGCAATATAGAGGTTTCTATTTAAAATTGATTTTGGAATAAAGTGTTTCATTCATTTGATCAAGTTTGCTTTAGTCTTAATGATTCAATCATCTATTGATGTTAGGGTTTTTATGTGTGCATGCTTTTAGTGGAGGAATCTATCATTTTGCCTTTGTTTGCATGGAGCATTATGTTAGGCCGGTTCAACCTGAACCGGCACAGCCGGCCTTTGGCCAGTTCTTGTTTACAGGAGGCGGACAAGAGCTGCCTCCCTTAATGTTGCCGACCAAACTAGTGGGCCCATCTAGGAGCAAATTAAAGAAAGAGAGGTGGGCGGCTAGGATGAGAGAGAAATTTTGAATTAAGGAGTTTGAATTAGGAAATTAATGTATTAATAGTATGGGTTGTTTAGGGTTAGGGTTATGCATGCTTATTGTTTCTCTTGGAGTTCTCTTTGTGGCTTTGGGCTCTAGATTCATCGTCTAGAGATTGGGAGAGAACGATCCTTCTATCGAATTGAGGATCAATTGTATCTTTGCTTGTTCTTGCTTTTGGTTTGATTCCTATAATACAATCTACTGTTTTTGGATTGTTATCATTGGAGATCTTGAGGTTTTCTCTCTGTTTTCACCAATTATTGTTAGGTTTGCTTGCTAACTCAAGTATTTCCCATTAGGGTTACTTGCAAACTCAAGTATTTCCTATCACATTAAATCTAATGAATAGATTTAACGCGGTAGGCAGTTTATACTCACTTCCTCGTGAAACGAAAATGCAAAGAAAAATAGAATTGATGTACTGATTAGAATTTCAACGTTTATTTCGTTAAAATCAATTAATTTTTCATCAAAATTTGCCTTATTCCAATTATTGTTGAATTGCTTTATGTATCCTAGTTCTCTATTCATTTTTTGTTGGATTTTGTATGAGATGTTAAACTATTTTACATAACTTGTGTCCGTCTTATTCGTAGTCTATCCCTCATTACATTCCTTCAATATTACATTTATATACCCATCTCAATGATGGAATTTTTACTTCTTTATAAAGTTGATTGAAAGGCTGAAACTGATCTATTACATCAGGATTATTTTGATATCATCGACACTCCTATGGATTTTGGAAGCATCTGTAATGATCTAGAGCATGGAGCCAAGTACAAGAATTCCTTAGATGTGTATAATGATGTGCAGTTTATCTGGGATAACTGCTACAAGTACAACAACAAGGGTGATTACATTTTGGAACTAATGAAACGGGTGAAGAAAAACTTCATGAAGTACTGGACTGCTGCTGGTTTGCTTACAGAAATGCCAATTGGTGAGATTCATCATCGGTGGTGGAAAAGTGTTCCTTGATTTTATTTCTTTGGTAAATTTCAGGTTAAGTCCAGCCTATTGCTCCAGGGCCCCAGTAATTTGTTTGCCCGTCATTGATTTTTTTTGGGGTTATTTTAACTTTTTCTAATTTTCCTTTCTTGTATGCCTCTTGTTTTTAGCTTAGGAAATAAATTAGCTAGGAAATTTATTAGATATACCGGTAGAAAGGCATGATTTTATTTTTATTACAATAAAAATTCCATCCACTAGTTTCTCATGGAGGAAATGATTATAATTTGTGCATTCATTCCTTGGTTTTATTATTATATAAGGGGAAATCGTCTATAGATTTCTATCATTTAAACATGCTAGCATTGTATGAAAACCATTGCACATGGACATTTGCTTTTGCATGCGCAGTGTGCTCATCATCGTATGTATTTAATGTGTTATCAGGGCTGATATCCAATCATGTTTAAGCAAGGTTTGAAATTTTCTCTATATATGTGGCAAACTTCAAAATAGTTCATTGACAATTTGTATGTGGCGAATTTAGTTCCAGAGTATCATGTTGTTCCAATTTAGTTCATCGACTATATAAAAATTGATCTAAAATGATCCCTTTGAGATTAAATTGTGATCAATTTTATATCACAATTACAACATGAGGGAGCATTTTGGATCAATTTTGTGTAGCCAAGGGACCAAATTGAGCAATGTAATACTCTGAGAAATAGTTCAGGGATTTAGATTGAGTTTCGTTTATGTTTTGTAATGTGCATAACATTTTAGATATGTTTGTAGTTTGTATGCGTGAATGAATTGCATTATAATGTGCACGTTGCATCTATATGCTTTGATTTGTGTATGGATATACAATTACACACACTATTACTGCTAGTATTGTAAAAATGGCTTGTGATTCTATCAATATTAAATCTTAGACTTTTATTTTGTTTAATCTGATTTGATGATGTCAATCATGACCATACAATATTTTCAGTTATTATTATTATTTAATTAATTAATTGGTAAATTATAATATTTATCAGTTAAAATTCCTTGACTTTTCCCATTTCATGGCTACACACTTAAAAATTATTTGCCAATTGTCCTCTCCTACTCCTAATTTTCAAACATGAAATCACATCTACGCCCACTTGCCACCTAAGGTAGGAAGATTGAAAGCCTTCTCGGTTTTTAATTAGAAAATTATTTTTCCTTAAAATATTGCTTTTTTGACTACTTGGCTCCTAAGTTTCATAGAGCAAATCTACTATGCTTTTCTTCACCTCCGATGTTTGGAATATGAAAAACCTCCATAAAATTGAAATTCAACAGTAAAAAATTCGCATTAATTTCTTCTTAAGATTCAATTTTTTCTTCTCTACCCTTAATTAGAATTTAATGTCATTTATTCTTCAAATGAAATGGAGAATATGGAATTTGGATATGGAAAATTTGAATATTAAATTCATTTGAAATTGCAAAAATGCATAATCAAGTATTTAACGCCTAATTAAATCGTTTCTTCTTCTCCACAATAATATCTAATTTATTTGCATTTACCCGTCTCCTCTCTAATGTTAAATTGGAATTTCCGGTTTTGGAAGTGCAAAATCTCTTATTCAAAATAATAAAATGGGAGAAGCTATTTTTGTATAGCTGAATATGTTGTCATCAATTCATCATTAATCTCTACAAATTTCTACTTTAGTTTGAATATGATGTCATCTGTTTCTGGAATTGCTAGATGTTCTTTCACTAATTTGGCAATAAAAGTTTCAGTAGTCTTCAAAATACTGCATAATAGGTGTTCCTTTTAATTGTTAATAATACACTTGGGATAACGTGAACTTTTATTTAACTCTTGAACTATTTAACTTAGCTGGGAGACATAATTTACATTTATTGGGTTATTTGTATAGTTGGTCTCAAACACAGACACTTACAGACATGATGTCTAGTTTTTAGTGTATGTAGCAGTAAATTTAGTTCGAGGATTGAAAAATTTGTCACCTTTAGTGTAATGCAGATGTTGGGAGAATGATTACAAACCCTTTTATGATACTATTTTACTTTATAGTTCAATTGTTACTTTATAGTTCAACATAAATGTAATATGTCATCTTTTAATATATTATTTGGATATTATATAAACATCACTTTTAATATTTCTTTTAGCTTTATGTAATTTTTGGATTGAGGCTTACATCTCAAAATGTGGTGTAAGCAAACTAGAAAGAAAAGCTAAGTTGGAGAACACAAGGACAAAATAAAATCAAACTCAATTCACTTTAGCTTGCAAACATCCGAACAAACATCCGGATAAACAAAAGTCAATTCAAACGAAACAAAATAATAATATAAAAATGCTATCCTTAGAACAACCGTCTAGCAATTTCCTCACATGCAACGAGAGTAGGAAAATATATGAAAATTGTGCTTAGGCTTGCAAACCGAGGGTCCACCACTGCAAATGGGTCCAACGTTCTACCAAACTCCTCCGGCAAATGTCTCCAAATTTCAGCCAACAAACAACTTCCAAGAGCTTAAGAAGAAGGGTACAGGTGGAGTGGAACTTCGGTAGGGAAGAAGTGGTTAGAAGCCAAGACGAAATAGAGAGGAGGAAAGGGAGTGAAACAAGCTCTCAAGCTTTTCCAAGAGAAGAAACCCTCAGGTTTTAGTAGAAACTTTGCTCAGATTTTCAACAACCTCTTTCCTACTCAAAACATATTTAATTTATAGGCAAAAAAAGAAGCAAAACAGCCACAACACCTCCAACCAAAATCAATCAGGTTTGGGGAAATGAAAGGCCAAAAAACACCACAACAACCCACATAATCAGCACAGAAAACAGGGAGAAAAAGCCACAGGAAACCCAACCAGCAAGCCACGGGAAAGCAGCCATAGAGGGATCCTAGGAGCCAACACAGGAAACAAGGCAGGGAATTCACGGGAAACAGCCAGGGAGAAATCACAAGAGCCAGCCAGCTTTTATTCTCAAAGAAGAAACCAAAGAGACACAAGAAGGGGAAGAGACAAGATCCACTCCACATACCTTTTTGATTTTATGAGCTAGGAAGTGCATTTACTCCCCCAATTAATGAGCTAAATTTCAGCTCAAGCATTAATGAGCTAACACCAAATAGAACCCAATTTTTAAGCTCAACACCAATCAGCCAAGGCCCAACCCGAGAGAAGCAAACAGCCCCAATCCGAGAACATCAAGCAGCCCAAGAACAAGAAGGAACCAAATGCAAGCAAACCCAAGACTTGCCATGCCCAAGCACTTCCTACCATGATCATTGGATGCTCTCCATCATTTGATAGCTTATAAAAAAAAAACATAAAAAACAACTAATATTGTTCACATTACATCAAAACAAAATAAACTAAAAAACATGAATGCATCAAAATGTCTTAAAACTTACGCCTTGTCTCATGAATGAAAAATGCCTCAATACTTAAATTGCACAATTTTAAACCTTTGTCATTGCATATATGATTCATAGTAATATGAATAATGTTAAACAATTCCATAGAAATTATGCACATTCCATACAAAACATTCTATGGAGAGAACCTCTAGAGATGAGCATGATATAATATGCTCTAAATTTGAAGGAAGAGAATGCTACTATGGAAGAGAATTGCAAACTTTCTTTGAATGGATTGACTCTTCAACAACTCATCACGTATCTATTCCTATAAACCAGACATAATACTATGCATAAGACATGCACAAAGAACATCACTTAGATTTTTCCATTATCAAGTCAACAACTTTTGTTTCGTCTTTGTTAATAACTAACTTCCTTTTTAGTGAAGAAATTACATAAATATCTTTTGACTTTGTTCATGCATATAAATTGACTTGTAGGGTATGATAACTTAATAAACTCTCTCGTAGGTCATTTAGGTTTCTTATTCAAGCCTATCCATATTATAAATAATTCTATCTTATACAATTTGGATCTTTCTTAAACAAGAACCATTAAACAATAAGCATACCACATGATTCTATGACGTCTCTCACACATCTACATCAACCAACTTCATCAAGCATGATTATTATAATTCTTTCATACATAAAAACATTAGGATTCTCTTAATTCATCTAAATTATGCTCTTTTAGCGTGGTATCTATTTATTTAATAGAACTTTCATATGACTACAATTTGTAAATCATGTGTTGATTATTTTAGGTTTGATATCCTACTTGTCAAAATGATCATACACAGGCCTTTAGATTATTTTCACCAAAATTCTCACTTGATTCAACTCTAGCAGGCATCTCAAAGGCTCCATGATGCAGACATCAGTACGAAGATTTGGCGCGCCCATCACAAGAGGCGTCGTAAATCGACGGCTATAATTTAAATCTTAAATTATGAGTTATTTTCTAAATTTTAGCTCTTATTTTAAGTTATTTCATGTTTTCCCCCCTAGGTTGTTTTATATGAGTATTGTTGCCCAAGGGGCAACTTTGTCTTTTGAGTTTTTTTTTTATGTTGTGGCCTATATATAGGGCCTTAAGCTATTGTAATAGATGATGAAGATGATTATATAAGAATTTCAGTTTTAGTTTCCTTCCTTAGTAAGTATAATGGTGGAGAAAGTCCCTTGGAGTAGGGCAAACAAATTACCCAACAACCGTCGTTGTGGCAAGGTTCTTGGTCTGTATCTTTGTTAATTCTTTTATATTTTCCTTCTTTATCTCTCCAAACATCAGCACCACCCTCTCTCACCCATCCGGCCGAACTCCAACAACAACCTCGCTGTCCATCTTTCCAACCCCACTAGCAATCCCAAGTTCTGTCCTGCTCCTACAGCCCTCCCAAACTGCAACTTTTTTTTATTGTTTTATGCATCCAACCAGCCGGCCACCATCCCTGCCACCACACAACAGTTCCTTCATTCCCAAACAGCCACCTTTCATATTCCTAACAGTTGCCCCTTCATTTTCCCCACCACCCAGCAAATGACCGCTATCCGATCTCCTTAACCAACGACAACCCCAAATCATCCCAATCCAACTACCACCTAGAGCCCTACCTCCACCACAAAATCAGCCCCCCAACTCCCAAGCCTTCAAAATGACTTTTCATATTCCTTGACCCTTCACATTCCACCAAACATCAATTAGACTTTCAAATTATGAAATCTAATTAATTTTGGAGTTTTCCCAAGCCACCTCACTCCTCCCAAAATCAACCATTAATTCTCCCTCCACTTTCCCAAACCTTTCCATTATGACATCCACTCCAATGTCATTTAATGAGCCATCTCATTAACTATTATTCCCTTTACTAAAGCTACAATTAATTTCTCAACTTTCCAAGGCCTCCTCATTAATCCAAACCATTAATCCTATTTCATTTCCCTAGTCCCACTTAAATGTTATTAAGTGCAGCCAAAAATTCTCCCATTACTCATACACCCTTTCCTATGTGCTGCCATTAAGTGTTGGGCTGCTATCTTATGTTGCTGGTATGTTGCATAACACCCTCCCAACTGAGCCCTTGCAGCTGCCCGAGGTTTCTCCTTGCTGCCCACACTAAATCGCTGCTATTTTATCCTGTTTTCGGCTACAAACTTGACGAAATTCAAAAGTGATTGATCAAGGACACATGAGGCTTCAATCTAAGCTCTTTACACCCTCACATTCACATGCAAAATAACCACCCGTGGGTTTGTTCTGCATCACTCCATATAATTATACATGTTATTTACTTGAAGAAAACTAGGATTTTTTATTCCATTTTTGGACTAGGAGGGAAATAAAAGAACCCAAGACCTTGCTTCTTCGGTCACTCTTCCTCTCCTTACACTCCCCGCTTGAGTTTATTGATGCACCTCACCTTGTGTCACACTCGCTTTGGAACCCACTTGGTCAAGCATCAAATGTGGCAGCTTGCTCGACTGAAGCTATGATTGTCTCCTTGATCTGCAATGGATTGCTCGAGCTCCCACTGAACAATATATTGCTCTTTGTTTTTCTCTCCCATGCTTTTTGTTGATTTATTGCTCGCTCCTACCCCACTCTTGCTAACTCCTCTCTCTGACTCTTACCCAAGCCCAACTCCTTTTTGACAAAGGCAAGTGACGAGGACATTGCTCAGAGATTCCGACATGTGTACCAACGACGAAATCGTAGATCAACGACTACGATTCAGAGTCTTTACTTTTGATGTATTTTTTATGTTTTATTTATTTTTGCATCTCAGTTTTCCTATTTTACCCTTATGGGTAGTGAGTTCTTATTGTAGCCCTGAGGGCATTTGAGTTCTTTTTCTTTTCTTTGTGATTGAGACTTATATATAACGGTCTTGTGCTTTGTAAGAGCTTAATGAATGAATCAATGAAATTTTGATGTTTGTCGTCTTCTTCTTGTGCGTGCATTAGAGAGGAGAGAGAGCCTCAGTTGAGGGCCAACACAATACCCACCATTCATTGAAATAGTTTGTGACTTGTGGTTTATTTTCTTCTCTTTACCCTTGTTCTTTCTCCCCAATCGGCTGCCCCATACACCTCAATCCACCAGCCGAAGCCCCCCCTTTGCCCGAACCGCTGGCCACCTCACCACTTTCCTCCAACCCTTTGACCCCTAGCCACCCCCCCATCCCCAAACGCCGGCCACCATTCTTCCCCCAAGTTCTACCACCGGCCCCAACCTCCTCTCCCCTTTAATGATGAATTCAATCATCATTACTACTTACCTAAAATAGCCTACATAATTTGGGAAATAAAGTTCCTCAATTTGAAATTCAAATTTTGAATTTCAAATAGTTTCCTAAATTAACAAAAGCTATATTAGGAAAGTTTTAAATCTAAGTCCAATTTAATTTTAAGTTGGATTTGATTGAATTATTCTTTTTCTAAACTAGAGAGCTCAATCAGGAATCTCTTAATTTTCTTCCCAAACCTTCCTCCCACTCTCTTAATGTCTTTGGCCCCCTTTATTATTCACCTACTTTGAATTTCCTCTTTAAGCCCTAACTTTAGTTGAATTTGAAATCAATTTCAATTTCAATTCCCTCCAAAATCACTTAAACCTAAAATTAATTTCAGATTTCCTAGAGTTTCCCCAACCCAAACCTAAACTTCACATAATCCAAATCTCCTGCCTCTCTCCTTGGCCGCCCCTCCTCTTCCCTTGTTTCTCTTAGAAACCCTAAATCTCTCATGAGTTTTGGAGCGAAGAAGAGAAGACAAATTCCCTCCATTCTACCATTGGTGCATGGTCGACCCTGAGGTCGACCACTGATTCTCATACAAGGTTCAAGGGGAAATTGACATCTTGCTATTTCATTTCTTCGATCTAGACTGGACATACGAGGATTCAATGGAGAGCTACGTCAACCGCATACTCTACCATCTCGCCGAGACGATTGACGAGCAACAACCCACGGGACATTGGCAAATCGTCGGCCGACCCACAACATCTCCTCCTCCGGCTACTTCTCCGGCGAACAAGACCTTAAGCACCACTTGTCTTGTGGTGTCATCACTAGAGTTGCTTCTACCCTTTCTCCGCTAAACCCCAACTTCAAGAGCGAGTGTGAAGGAACTCAAGGTGAACACTTCTCATTGTTACGCCGTGGATTTTTATTTCTTCGCCATTAGTTTTACTTTTATTTTGTTGCCACTTGCATGTATTTTGTTAATCTTAATTGTAATCGCTTGCTATTACTTGATCTTTTAACGGGAAGTTCTAAGAAATTTAACTTGGTGAAACATAAGTTTATAATTAGCAAAGTTAAAGTTCAAAGTATTGTTAATTTCCAAAAGCAATCCTTGTTCACTTACATGTTTCACATCAACAAGCCCTTTTTGGCTACTCTGGAGTTGGTACTATGATATAGTTCAACTATTTTAAGATGGTAGGTACACTGGCATAGTGATATTTTCACCAACTACATTTTAGGTTTATTGATTCTATGATATTGGAATGTACGGCATAATTCAAACCTTGAAAGCCATGTTTATGTTGTTTTAAAGCAGAGTGCATATGGTTGGCTTTCATGCTTGCTATCTTTTTTCATTAGACATGGAGCACTTCGGATGCCTTCCTAGTTAATATGGTCAAACTGTCAGAAGAACTTACCTGATGTTTGTGAGTAGGTAATTTTTTATATTCTGGAGTAAGATTATCTTAAGAAATTTGAACCATGCGTTCAGTAGTATGCCTGAAATTGAATATTTACTTGACTTGCAGCGCTTCTAGATTAATCTGGTGCAGGGTCGTTATGATATTTTTGCTGAACTCTTTTAGTGCAGTAATTTTTAGTTCTTGCCTTCTTGGTTTGCTTTTATATTGGATGTATCCTTTATCACTCAGATTGAGTAAATTGTGGGTTTTGCTTTGTCTGAAGGTACTCAAGTTGAAGATGTTCTCAGGTCTCATCAGGACAAATCAACATCAAAAATCAAATCAAAGCATAAACGTCGACGCCATGGGTAAGTTCATTGTGAAAGGATTTTTATGTAGAAGTTTTGTTCGTTGTGTTTTTTCTTCATGCTATGACTGGTATGGGTTGAACATGAAGTATTGTTTTCCTAGAGATCATTGCAGCAAAAGTAAATCAAATGACCGATTAAAAGTTTTAAGAAATTGTGTCTCAATCTTATTCTCTTTTTCTTTGACTATAAAAAAATGACAAATAACTACCTCCTTCCTGATTAATTTGTAGATGATCTTCCATTTTTTGCATGAATCATTCATTCAGTTATTCATATGACATGCTTCATTAAGTTGGCTGTCTAGGCCCATTTTGTGCCCGATGATGCAATCAAAAATCTGGGAGAAGGGCCCCAAAATTTTCGATCACCAAAAGACACACTTAGCTAAGTAATAAGAAGAACAAACTCTTACATTTCATATAAAAAGACACTTAGAAACTTTGACTCAAGCGACTCAAACAAGACACCTTACAACTCTTACAAACGACACAACTAAAACACCTAAACTTGCTTTCCAAGAGA